CCCCCCCCGAAAGGTTGCGCTTACCTTGTTTTGGAGGAGAGAAAAGCCAGTTTGATCAGGCCGTAGGTAAACAACGGTATCCTCTCCTTAGCTACACTGGCTACTTTCAGCCGGTGCTCTAGAATGTGCAGTTCCATTTTTTCCTTTTGGTCATTTGTGGTTCATCTATTGGGGTGTTTGTTTGTTTGTTTGTTGGTGGATTCTTTGATCTCTTGTGTTTGTTTGTTCTCTTCTTGCCCCCCCCCCCCCCCCCCACGGGGGGCGGGTATTTTTCCACTCTGTTCCTTTAACGTCTCCAGTACGAGCAGGCAGAGTGGGGGGAAAAAAGAATGACTTGGAAAGGGGGTGGAAAGATGGGTATTTATATATAAAGGAACACCAACGACAGAAGGGACAGGGGAAGGGAAACGTTGCAAATTATGGGAGAAGTGGAGAGGGAGGGGGGAAGAGAGAGAGAGAGAGAGAGGAGAAAGACCCAAAGCAATTTAAAAAAAGAGAGGGGGGGGGGGAGAGCAGAAGCTAGAAGGAGAGTTGAGAGCTCCAGAGTGCAGAAAGAGCTGCTGGTGTTTCAGTGTAACAAACAACTTGCCACTCAAACGGAGCCGCACTGGACATGCGCGCGGGGCAAAGGATGCTGGGAGATGTAGTCCAGAGGCGGGGCCTCGCTAGGAGTTTGGGCAAAAAACCAAATTGGGGGGTGCAGCGGTCGTCCCTCAACAATAAAGAACAAACAAAAATAAAAAGCACATCTGGGATCTGTTGGATGATATTCAGATGTGACATCTAAGTGAGGTTTTTTTTTTTTTTTTTAACAACTCCTGCACACAAGTATTTTCCAAAATGTTTTGGGGATCTGGCCTTTACTGCAGCTTGGGAGGAATTAGTGCAAGGTACATGCTTCTTCTTAGGCGTGGCTTGAAGCCATTACTCAGCATTGGCAGATACTCCACAAAACTTATGTGTGTTTTTGACTCAAAAGTAGCATATACTCCTGACCAGGGCTTTTTTGCTAGGAAAAGCCCAGCAGGAACTCATTAGCATAATAGGCCACACCCAACAGCAGAAACTCATTAGCATATTAGGCCACACCCCACGACAGTACCGCTCATTAGCATATTAGGCCACACCCCCTTGCCTTCCCTTGGCTTGCCGGACAAGCTGGCCCTTGCCTCCCCATCCTTTCAGGGGCCCCGCCCACCCACCTGGAAATTGTCGGGGTCGCTCTCCAGGCCTCCCCTCTGTAGCCACCCACGCAGAGGTTTTGGCTGTAGTGGGTGTGGCCAGCTCTGGAGCCAGCCGGAACTCCGTTCCTGTGCGTTCCTGCCCAAAAATAGCCCTGCTCCTGACCCTATTTCCCAAGGCCAATCCCTATTTCCTGTTCTCTGTGTCTCTATGTGCACCTTGTTAAAATCTTTGCTAGGGTGAGTTGAAAAGGTTGCTGTCCTTGAGAGTTCAGCTCCCTCTCCAGCATCCTTAGAAGCTGGATCTTTGAGTGCGGGGATAGATGCATCTTGTACCTGGTGGATAAGTGTGCACATGAGCACTAAGGCATTGTTCATTACACAGCCTTCCATACCTCCACCTTGGAAGTGTGGCTGGTCTAGTCGCGGCTGACTTATGGCAAGCCCAAAGGGCTCTCTAAGCACAAGGCGTTCAGAGGTGGCTTGCCATTGCCTGCCTCTGCATAGTGACTTGGAGCTTCTTGGTGGTTTCCCATCCAAGTAGTAACCAGGGCTGACCCTGCTTAGCTTCTGAGATCTGATGAGACTGGACTAGCCTGGGCCATCCAGGTCAGGGCTTTTGTTTGTTGTTGTTGTTCAGTCGCACAGTCAAGTCCGACTCTTCGTGACCCCATGGGCCACATCACGCCAGGCCCTCCTGTCTTCCGGCGTTTGCTCAGTTTCATGTTCGTTGCATCGATAGCACCGTCTCACCATCTCATCATTTGCCGTCCCCGTCTTCTTTGACCTTCAATCTTTCCCAGCATCAGGGTCTTCCCCAGTGAGTGCTCCCTTCTCATTTGGTGGCCAAAGTATTTATTTATTTATTTATCCTTGGATTTATATCCCGCCCTACCCCGGAGGCTCAGGGCGGCTAACAAGGGCACAATGTGCCAAGATTATAACAGTAAAAACACATAGTATAAAACAGTAAAATACAATATCAGGTTTACAGTACAAACTTAAACAAAAAATGGGTAGATCTTAAACCCAACGGTAGCTTTCCCAAAAAGCTTCAGGTTCAGTATCTGGCCTTCCAAAGAAAAGTTAGAGTTGATTTCTTTTAGGATTGACTGACTCTCAAGGGGGACTCTCAAGAGTCTTCTCCAGCACCATAATTCAAAAGTATCTATTATTTAACGCTCGGCCTTCCTTATAGTCCAACTCTCGCACCCATACATTACTACTGGGGATACCATTGCTGTCAGGGCTACCATATGCTAATCCTGTCTTTCTGGTGTGCTTTGAGCCTCAAAACTGGCATCCTCTTGGCCTTCAAAGTTGAGCAGTGCAAGCTACTGGCCAGTAGCCCAGCAGGACGGAATCTTCGGCAATGTGTAATAATGGTATGTACACAACGGTCCTTGGTATGAGAATAGGAGTATATAATCATTGCATTTGTTCTTCCAACACAGGATCCCAGGTGGTGTACATAGGTTTCCTAGGATGTCTGCCAGACAGGCAGTGCCCAGACCATAGGTTCACCAGTAGTGCTGGATCATGTGCTTTCTGAGTATACCCAGGGTGTAAATGCTGTAAAAAAAGGGGTTAAGGTTCCCTTGCTCGAAAGCCAGTCAAATCCGACTCTAGGGTTGCGGTGCTCATCTCCGTTTCAAAGCCGAAGAGCCAGCGCTGTCCGAAGACGTTTCCGTGGTCATGTGGCCGGCATGACTAAACACCAAGGCGCACGGAACGCTGTTACCTTCCCACCGAAGTGGTACCTATTTATCTACTTGCAATTTCTTGCTTTCGAACTGCTAGGTTGTACACATGGCCATATTCTCATTTGTGAAACACTGGAAAGTAGGACATTAACTTTGGGTGCATTCATACAGAGTTAGACATTGTGCTCTCGTTCTGCTAGAGCAACTGTTTGCAACTGGATTGACTTGCTGCACGAGAGATGGAAGAGGGAGGATAGGGAACCTCCATATTCAGGGGCAGTAAACCCCAGATCTGACATGGAGAGCCCGGGCTAGCCCAATCTTGTCAGAGCTCAGAAGCTAAGCAGGGTTGGCCCTGGCTAGTATTCGGATGGGAAACCACCAAGGAATACCAGGGTTGTGATGTGGAGGCAGGCAAGGGCAAACCACCTCTGAACGTCTCTTGCCTTGAAAAACCCACGTGGTCGCCATAAGTCATCTGTGACTGGACGGCCCTTTCCACCACCACAAACCTCAGATACCCTCAGATGCTAGGAGGCAACATCAGGGGAAGGACTTGGCCTCTATGCCCTGTTCGTTGGCCCCCTAGAGCTGCTGCTTTGTTTAACCTCATTTATACCCTGCCTAGGGGTCTCCTCTGCCTAGGGGCCCTGGAGGCAGTGGTCCGCCCTCTCCTAAAAAAGTCATCGGATCTGGTCGAATTGGCTAATCACCGGCTGGTATCCAATCTGCCCTATCTGGGCAAACCAATTGAGAGGGGCGGTGGCAATACAGCTGCAGGGTTGTTGTTTTTTTGGATGACACCTCCATATTAGATCCCTTCCAGACCGGTTTCTGACCAGGCCGTGGGACAGAGACGGTCCTGGTGGCCCTCACAGAAGATCTCCGGACGCATCTGGATTGGGGCGGTATGGCAGTGTTGTTGCTGTTAGACCTCTTGGTGGAGTTTGAAACAGTCGACCATCAACTACTGATCCACCACCTCGCCGACACCGGGATCCAGGGGTTTGCCTTGCAGTGGCTCTCCTCATTCCTTCAGGGTCGGGGACAAAGGGTGGCTGTTGGAGAACAACTATCCAAAAGGCACCCGCTGATTTGTGGAGTGCCCCAAGGAATGGTGCTTTCCCCAATGTTATTCAACATCTATATGCGCCTCCTTGCCCAGATTGCCCAGAGTCACAGACTGGGTTGTCACCAATATGCAGATGACACCCAACTCTATCTGTTGTTGGACAGCTAGTCAGACTCTAGTCCGGGAGATCTGGACTTGGCGTTGAAAGCTGTGGCTGGTTGGCTTAGACTGAGTCGACTGAAATTGAATCCAACAAAGACGGAGGTCCTGTGCCTGAGTTGGAGCAGGCCAAGGTTAGGGAGTCCACACAATCATCCTGTTGGTGATTAATGAAACACCTTAAAAACTGCTCCAAAATTTGGTTGGTTCGTTCTGTTCGCCCATCAGTCTCTGGGTGATAGCCACTGCTGAGACCTTGCTCGATTCCCAGAAATTTTAACAGTTCTTTCCAAAATTTGGCAACGAACTGAGCTCCCCGATCTGAAATTATTTTGTGGGGCAGAGCATGGAGTCTAATGACATGCGGCATGAACATTTTAGCCAACTGCTTTGCTGTGGGCACCTGTTTGCAGGGAACAAAATGAGCCTGCTTCGAAAATAAGTCTTCGGCCACCCAAATCACTTTTCCCATGACTTGGAGGCAGGTCTGTAATAAAATCCATTGATATCTCTGAACAGGGTTGATCTGGGATATCTAAGGGCTGCAGTAACCCCGGTACCTTCCCAACCCACTGCTTGCTCATGAGACAGATTTGGCATGAAGACACATACTTAGAAATGTCCCCCCTCATGCAGAGCCACCAGAATTGTCTTTGTATGAGGTTCAGAGTCTTTAAATACCCGTAATGTCCTGAGAGTTTGTTATCATGCCCCATGGTTAATACATCACATCTGAGAGTTTCTGGAACAAATAGTTTGTTTTGCCTATACCAGCAACTATCATCTTTCTGGATCAAAATTCTGTCTTTCTCAATCTCCTCTTTGTCCCAGTCAGAGAGAGCGGCTTTGAATTTCTTCACCCATGGCTGTTGAATTATCGGTCTGGGGCAAGTGATGCTATGTATTCTTGGTGCTTGGGGGAGGGGGCAACAGTGGGAGGGCTTCTAGTTTCCTGGCCCCACTGCTGGACCTCCTGATGGCACCTGGTATTTTTGGCCACTTTGTGACACAGAGTGTTGGACTGGATGGGCCATTGGCCTGATCCAACATTGGCTTCTATTCTGTTCTTCTGTTCTTATATTGGATTAGAATCTGGGTGGCCCAGGTTTGAATCCCCACTTA